CATCTATCCCCTAGGTGGCACTGTGCGCATGCGGTGGCAGCAGCCCAGCAAAGCTTCCGGAGAACCTTTAGCCAGGTTCTCCCAAGAAACAGGCTAAAAGTCCGGAGCTGTAAGAACAGGGAGGGGCACCTGTGATGCCTGCAGCACACCAGTGCTCTGCTCTGCTTCAGGTACCTCGCTCCCTCCGTCCTGGGTGGGGGTGGGGGGGGGTCCTATCTGGGTCCCTCCTGGCAGGGCCTGAGTATAGAGGTCCCGGGGACTTAGCTGATCCCCAAATCATGATTCCCCAGGGCACTTTCATGTGACAAATGGAGACAAATAGAAGACTCAGGTCTGGACATAGAACTGATAGTTCTAGTTCTGCCACTTACAGACGGAGTGACTGCCTCTGAGCTCCTTTTCACATTTATTTTACAAATTCAGAGCTTTGGGAAGGTCAGTTCACATGAGATTATTCCAGAAGAAACAGTTTTTATCTTGTCAAGTGACTTTCGCATGTGTGTATATCCCTAGCTCCCTGAGTGGACATAGCTTTCGGGGGCAGAGCTGGGGTTGAGCCCAGCAGTCTGACTCAGGGATCCCTGCCCTTAACCTCTCTGATTGGCTCCCTCCTGCTGAGGTCTTATCGGGCCACATTGGAGACTTCCTTCTTTGGCAGAACCATCTTCTCCCATTTGGAGTAATGACAGTATGGCTGACTCACAGACAGTCAGGGCTGGAAGGTCCAACCTTCTCCTCTCCATGGTTTATGGATGGGACAACTGAGGTGAGAGAGATGATGGGACTCCTTGTCACTACCATCTGTTATCATGTTAAAATGTGCTCCACTGTGTCTTGGGCTCACACATATCTATGCTCCCATCACAGATCTTTACAGTCTTGTAGGGAGCATGGTCTGAGGACAGAAGGCTCATGGCTGAAGATGCAAATGGGAGCAAGAGGCCCTTGGAAGTTTGCAGAGTCTTTAAAATAGATTGTTCTGGGACAAATAGGGCAGGCATTGGGTGGCAGACTATAAAAATCAATTTTTTTCTGTTCACTTTTCCCCAGGGCTCTCTGACCTCTTTTTCAAGACAGGCAACATTAATGCAAAGCCGAGCTTGGAATGAAAAGTCTACCAAAGACATTGCCATCTGGCTCACTGTCATTGCCTGTACTCCATACACTCCTGGGGTGACCCATTCTCACACTGGCCTCTTGGTCCTGACTTCCTCACCTCAAGGGCCATTGATCCCATCATTCCATCTCAACCACCCACTCCCATGGATACAGACCTCTGTCTGACCACAGCTATCTTCTGCAGTCACCGAGGGCCCCCCAGCCTACCCTCATCGCCTTTCTCCCACCTACTGGCCCCTCCAGCTGTCACTTCTCTTTCTTACCAGCCAAGACTCTTGATACAACAACTCAAGTGCTTTCTTTCCAATACTCTTGAGTCCTCTGTCCCACTGTTTTTCTATCAAGCCTTCCTGGTAAAACCCCAAACTCTGGTCAATCTTACTGTGTTCTCTGCATCTGTACTTAGCCCAGCTGCCCAGTACTGATGAAGGGTCTACAGTCTCAGCTGGGCTCTCAATACTTCCTCAAACCCTCCTGCTTGCCCCGACTTAGAAGCTTCTCTCATTTTCTCCTAAGTTTCTCTGAAATCCTTGGATCTCACCAAAATCCCACTTATATTTTCCCTGGAAACCTGTTTCCAGAAGAAATGGAAGCCTTCGTTTAGAAACTCACACCAAACTCACAAACATCTGCATCCTCACGGAACTTTTCCTCCTTCTGTCTCCATCTGTCCTCCTTTGGCTGCCCTCTTGGTTCTGAATCCCAGTCCTTCCCACCTTCTCCAGCAAACATCATCTCGCTTTTCCTCCAGACCCTTCAATCTCCCACTTTCTACTGTCTCCCTTCATCATTTAAACATATTCACATCTCTCCTTTCTTCAAAAAGTTCTCTCCCTCAGCCTGGTACCCTCATCATCTTCCAGCTAACAACCTGTCTCGTCTTCATTTATTCTCCAGCGCACTGTTAAATGGCTTTGATCAAACAATTCCAATGAGCCAGTTCGTGAGAGCTGCCAAACCCAACGGTCATTCTTCAGCCTTGTCTTGTGGGCCCACCCTGTGGCACTGAAAAGTTAGGACCACTGCTTCCTTCTTCAGACATTCGTTTCCCTTGACTTCCATGCACCCCACCCTTCTGGCTCTCCTCCTACCTCGTGACCCCTCTTTCTCAGTCTCCTTGGTCTCTCCCCTCTCTCCCTTCCTGATCCTCCCCGATTTTGTGTTCATCAGGATTCTGCCTCAGTCCTTTTCCCTTCTCACCTCATAGTCCCTGAATAATTTCCTCTACTCCCATGATTTTAATTATCGTCCATGTGCTGCTTTCTCAATATCCACTATCCTCTTCTTCCTTCCACACAGGCTCAAGGCCCTAATTTGTTAAAATTGCATTTCCTGCCCTAGCTGGTTTGGCTCAGTGGATAGAGTGTTGGCCTGCAGAATGAAGGGTTCCGGGTTCAATTTCAGCCAAGGGCACATGCCTGGGTTGCGGGCTCGATCCCCTATAGGGGGCATGCGGGAGGCAGCCAATCAATGATTCCCTCTCATCATTGATGTTTCTATCTCTCTCCCTCTCCCTTCTTCTCTGAAATCAATAAAAAGACATTACAAAAAAAATTGCAGTTTCCAGCCTCCCTTGGATCTAAGGCTTGCCTTGTGACCAGACTTGACAATGGGGCATGAGTAGCCAGTCTGTGGGGATATCTGGGAAAGTGTTGCTTTCCACTAACAGGTGCTGCTCCTTCATCCTTTTTTGCATGTTCTGTCTGTCTGGAATGCAGGTGGGAAGCTGGAGCTGGAGCAGCCATTGGATTACCACATGCTGACTCTGAGGATGAACGCTTCCCAGTGAGGACACTGGAGCAGACCTACCCAATGGACAGGGACTGAATGACATGGTGGAGCTGCTGAGCAGCCCTGCTCTGTTTACCTTTATTATTATTTTTTATTTATTTTTAAAAATCTTTATTGCTGAAAGTATTACATAGGTCCTCCTTTTCTCCCCATTAACCTCTTCCAGCCAGCTCCCGTTCCCCCCACCCAGGCCCTCACTATCCCATTATCCGTGTCCATGGGTTATGCATATATGCATACAAGTTCATTGGTTGATCTCTTCCCACTCACCCTCCCCTCTGAGGTTCAACAGTCTGTTCATGCTTCTGTGTTTCTGGGTCTATTTTTTAAAAAATGTTTCTATTGATTTTTTTTAGAGAGAGAGAGAGAAAGAGAGAGAGAGAGACATCCATTGGTGGTAATCGAACTTGCAACCTGGGTATGTGCCCTGACCAGGAATCGAATCTGTGACCTTTTGGTGCAAAGGACAACAATCAACCAACTGAGCCACACAGGCCAGGGTTCTGGGTCTATTTTTGATCATCAGTTTATTTGGTTCATTAGATTCCACATATGAGTGAGATCATGTGATACTTATCTTTCTCTGACTAGCTTATTTTGCTCAGTATACTCTCCAGGTCCATCCATGCTGTTGCAAATGGTAAGAGTTCTTTCTTTTTTATTGCTGCGTAGTATTCCATTGTGTAAATGTACCACGGTTTTTTTATCCATTCATCTACTGATGGGCACTTAGGCTGTTTCCAAATCTTAGCTATGGTAAATTGTGCTGCTGTGAACATAGGGGTGCATGTAACTTTTCTTTTTTTTTTAAAAAAAAATATATTTTATTGATTTTTTACAGAGAGGAAGGGAGAGGGATAGAGAGTTAGAAACATCAATGAGAGAGAAACAT